CTCGTTATCCATGGCGTTCCTCAGGGCATCCCGCATGCTGTCCCCCATGGTGTCCCGCAGGCTGTCCCCCATGGCGTCCCGCAGGCTGTCCCCTATGGCGTCCGTCCCCCATGGTGTCCCGCATGCTGTCCCCCATGGTGTCCGTCCCCCATGGTGTCCCGCAGGCTGTCCCCCATGGTGTCCCGCAGGCTGTCCCCCATGGCGTCCCGCATGCTGTCCCCCATGGCGTCCTGCATGCTGTCCCCTATGGCGTCCCGCATGCTGTCCCCCATGGCGTCCCGCATGCTGTCCGTCCCCCATGGCGTCCCGCATGCTGTCCCCTATGGCGTCCCCCATGCTGTCCCCTATGGCGTCCCGCATGCTGTCCCCCATGGCGTCCCGCATGCTGTCCCCCATGGCGTCCCGCATGCTGTCCCCTATGGCGTCCCGCATGCTGTCCCCCATGGCGTCCCGCATGCTGTCCCCCATGGCGTCCGTCCCCCATGGTGTCCCCCATGCCGTCCGTCCCCCATGGCGTCCCGCATGCTGTCCCCCATGGCGTCCGTCCCCCATGCCGTCCCCCATTGTGTCCCCCATGCCGTCCGTCCCCCATGGCGTCCGTCCCCCATGGTGTCCCTATGGCGTCCCGCATGCTGTCCCCCATGGCGTCCCCATGCTGTCCCCCATGGCGTCCGTCCCCCATGGTGTCCCCCATGCCGTCCCCTATGGTGTCCCCCATGGCGTCCCGCATGCTGTCCCCCATGGCGTCCCCCATGGTTTCCCCTATGGCGTCCCCCATGCCGTCCCCCATGGTGTCCCCTATGGCGTCCCCCATGGTGTTCCTTGGGGCGTTCAGGTAGATCCGGTCTTCAGTGCAGTGACGGATGAGTCCAGCTGCAGGAATGCCGTCACGCCTGATAAATCTGGTGCTAATCGGACATTAAGGAGTTCTCCGTCTCGCCTCCGTCTCCTTTATGTCCACCTGCTGACAGGCTGAGGACGGCGCTCCGTCTGCTGCTCATGATGGATGCCGCTCTGCGTCTCCTCTCGCCTCCAGCTGGAACCGGCGCCAAGAGGCCGACAGCCGGCTGGAAGGCGACACGATCCAGACGCTAATAAAGCTTTTTCCACAGCGGAGAGCAAACAGAGCCGTCGGCAGCAGAAGGTCCAAACACGACCTGAGGAACTCCAACACCAGGAAGAGACCCAGCTCATCCTGCAGAGGGTCAAAGGTTGAACTCCTAGAGAAATGGGCCAGCATTGAGGTGGAGCGTTGATCCGGAGCAGACGGCGTTCTGGTGTCCTGGAGTTTCTCTGGGTTCATGGATCCAAACGAATCACTGAAAACGTTGTTTCAGTTCAGCAGAAGCAGCAGAACCTTCTGAACGGACCTAAACGTTTGGACTTTTTCCCAGAACCTTCCCTGAAAACCATCCAGTTAGGAGTTTCAGCTCTACGAGCCGATCTGATCCAGTTTAACCCCGGACCGGGTGGCTGGTTCAAATCCCGAAGAACCAGGAGCAAAACGCAACAGCATCCGGATTTAGTAGTTCCCTTCAGCAAGGCACCAACTGCAGGGTTGGACTTCCTGTCGCTACAGACGAAGGCAGGAAGTGCAGCTGAGATGCTCCAGGTGGATTTATCCAACGCTCCTGCTGCCAGCTGGGACAAATCAAACGCTCCTCCAGAAACGGGATCTGGAACCGAACTGAAGGAAACTGGACCTTTTACCATCCAGAACCAGCAGGACAAAATCTGTTCTTCTCTGGCAGCAGCTGCAGGGAGACCCAGACTTTCTACCAGAACCTCCCGTCCAGAACCAAGACCCAGTTCAGGATGAGGGCTCTGCCTTCATTTCCCAGCATGCCTCACTCTACCTTAATGAAACATCCAGGACCTCAGAACCAGCCTGGGATGAGTTACAGTTGGTGGAAAACAAGTTGGAGCTCAGAGGCAGATGGACCAGTCTGACACACACACACACACACACACACACACACACACACACACACACACACACACACACACACACACACACACACACACTCTCTCTCTCTCTGAGTCACGGTCTAAAGTGCCACAAAAGCAGGTGTTCTTGGGAGCTGCTGTCCTGCACTCAGACGAGCTGAGGGACAGGAAGTGGACAGTTCTGATCCGACTGAAGGAGTGAGCAGAACCATCAGAGTTCAGCCTGCAGCCTGACCCATCCTCCATGACCTCTGCAGGGTCTGCAGCGCCTCCCTGTGGCCAGAAGAGCAACTGATCCAGGTTCAGATGGTGAACAACAGAGGGGAGGGGCTGCTGACCCATGCTGCTCTCTGATTGGCTCAGAGCAGGAGTCACTGTGAAAAAGGCGGGTCAGAGATTCACTCAACTGGATGAAGCACTGAAGTTCCCAGTCAGAACCCAGTCAGAACCCAGTTAGAACCCAGTCAGAACCCAGTTAGAACCCAGTCAGAACCCAGTCAGAACCCAGTTAGAACCCAGTCAGAACCCAGTTAGAACCCAGTCAGAACCCAGTTAGAACCCAGTCAGAACCCAGTCAGAACCCAGTTAGAACCCAGTCAGAACCCAGTTAGAACCCAGTTAGAACCCAGTCAGAACCCAGTTAGAACCCAGTCAGAACCCAATTAGAACCCAGTCAGAACCCAGTCAGAACCCAGTTAGAACCCAGTCAGAACCCAATTAGAACCCAGTCAGAACCCAGTTAGAACCCAGTCAGAACCCAGTTAGAACCCAATTAGAACCCAGTCAGAACCCAGTTAGAACCCAGTCAGAACCCAGTTAGAACCCAGTCAGAACCCAGTTAGAACCCAGTTAGAACCCAGTCAGAACCCAGTCAGAACCAGTTAGAACCCAGTTAGAACCCAGTCAGAACCCAGTCAGAACCCAGTTAGAACCCAGTTAGAACCAGTCAGAACCCAGTTAGAACCCAGTCAGAACCCAGTTAGAACCCAATTAGAACCCAGTTAGAACCCAGTTAGAACCCAGTCAGAACCCAGTCAGAACCCAGTTAGAACCCAGTTAGAACCCAGTCAGAACCCAGTTAGAACCCAGTCAGAACCCAGTTAGAACCCAGTTAGAACCCAGTTAGAACCCAGTTAGAACCCAGTCAGAACCCAGTTAGAACCCAGTCAGAACCCAGTTAGAACCCAGTCAGAACCCAGTCAGAACCCAGTTAGAACCCAGTTAGAACCCAGTCAGAACCCAGTTAGAACCCAGTCAGAACCCAGTTAGAACCCAGTCAGAACCCAGTTAGAACCCAGTTAGAACCCAGTCAGAACCCAGTCAGAACCCAGTCAGAACCCAGTCAGAACCCAGTTAGAACCCAGTTAGAACCCAGTTAGAACCCAGTTAGAACCCAGTTAGAACCCAGTCAGAACCCAGTCAGAACCCAGTTAGAACCCAGTCAGAACCCAGTCAGAACCCAGTTAGAACCCAGTTAGAAACCAGTCAGAACCCAGTCAGAACCCAGTTAGAACCCAGTCAGAACCCAGTTAGAACCCAGTTAGAACCCAGTTAGAACCCAGTCAGAACCCAGTCAGAACCCAGTTAGAACCCAGTTAGAACCCAGTCAGAACCCAGTTAGAACCCAGTTAGAACCCAGTTAGAACCCAGTTAGAACCCAGTCAGAACCCAGTCAGAACCCAGTTAGAACCCAGTCAGAACCCAGTTAGAACCCAGTTAGAACCCAGTTAGAACCCAGTTAGAACCCAGTCAGAACCCAGTCAGAACCCAGTTAGAACCCAGTTAGAACCCAGTCAGAACCCAGTTAGAAACCCAGTTAGAACCCAGTTAGAACCCAGTTAGAACCCAGTCAGAACCTAGTCAGAACCCAGTTAGAACCCAGTCAGAACCAGTTAGAACCCAGTCAGAACCCAGTCAGAACCCAGTTAGAACCCAGTCAGAACCCAGTTAGAACCCAGTCAGAACCCAGTCAGAACCCAGTTAGAACCCAGTCAGAACCCAGTCAGAACCCAGTTAGAACCCAGTTAGAACCCAGTCAGAACCCAGTTAGAACCCAGTTAGAACCCAGTCAGAACCCAGTCAGAACCCAGTTAGAACCCAGTCAGAACCCAGTTAGAACCCAGTCAGAACCCAGTCAGAACCCAGTTAGAACCCAGTTAGAACCCAGCCATCCATATGGAGAAACATGGTAACATAAATCATGAAACAGAAATAATCTGATTTGTGGGTAAATAACTACAGGTGAATGCAGTGCAGCGCGACCTCTGACCTCTCAGTGACAGGAGTGGTCATGTGATCACATCCTGTCAGTTGCCATGGCAACAATCCAGGCTCCAAACTGGGAGGTGGTTCTGGTTAGGAAACCAGAGTCCAGTTTGAAATGCTGTAAATCAAAAGCAGCTGACGGGTTTTACTGGTTCCACTGGACATGGGGGTCCAACTGGCCAACACATCATGATATCAGACGGAACCAGCAGAACAGATGTTCAGAGACAATCAGGGTAAAGCAGGAAAGAAAATACAGAGCTAAATTAGTGCCAAAAAATGTACAAACAAATTAATTGGAAAAATAATTCTGCTGACAGAAGGAGCGGCATCATGGCCGACAGCTAAAACAATTCACTGCGACACAAATCTGAGCAGAAAAACAGGATTTTTGATGCATTTGAAAACAATTTCCCATCATCCCCAGGAGGCTCCGCCCCCTTGGTGTCGAAGCCCCGCCCCTTCCTGATGAAGCCCCGCCTCCTCTCAAGGTGAGAACAGTTCCGAACTTTTTCTGTTTAAAGACTTTTTTTGAGCAAACATTTGGTTCAGTTCATCTTCATAAAGAACCTTCCAGAACCAGACCAGAACCAATCAGAACCAGACCAGAACCAATCAGAACCAGACTAGAATGCAATCAGAACCAGACCAGAACCAATCAGAACCAGACCAGAACCAATCAGAACCAGACCAGAACCCAATCAGAACCAGACCAGAACCAATCAGAACCAGACAACCAGACGTCCATGCGGATCAGGAAGCATCGGGACGCCCGTCCCAGCACTGACCTGTGGTTCTGAGAAGACTTCCTGGATGCTGTTGATTGGTCCGACCGGCACACCTGATCCCCGGAAACTCCTCAGCCAATCAGAAGAGCTCTGCTGCAGAAACCTGCTGGCAAACAGAACCAGACGGTGACCCGGCCGCCACACGGGCCCGGACCTGGTCCAACCAACGGCCGAAACACAACCTCTCAGACAGAATCTGCAGCAGCTGCTTCCGGTTCTGGACCCGCAGCTGGTTGGTTCTGTACTTTGGGTCGGCAGCGAGATCCTGCAGCTCCAGAACCTGCAGGTCCAAACAGATGGAGCCTCAGTTAAACTGGGACACCAGAGGGATTCAACACAGCGGCCCGGTCCAGAAACCAGTCTGGAACGGGTCCGGAACCAGAACCAGTCTGAAACCAGAACCGGTCTGCAACCAGCCCAGAACCAGAACCGGTCCAGTACCAGAACTGAGGGTCATTAAGTCTAGTAGAACAGAGTTAAAACCATTTGAGGAAACGGGTCAGAACCGAGCCGAGCTGAACAGAACCGACCTGGCACATTGTGACAAACTGCCTGTCGTTGGCTGCAGCCAGAACCAGGTGTCCGTCTCTGGTTCTGAAGCCCTGCAGACACAAAGCAGACACTGAGAATGACCCGGATCAGAACCAGAACCTGGACTCTATTCTTCAGTCTGTCCGAAAACTTCTGGTCCAAATGGAGCTTAAAAACTTTGTTTAAGCTCTAAATAAAAGCAGTGTGATAACGAATAAAAATCCAACAAACTAGATCATAAAAAATAGACATCTAGTTATATTCAGAGTTTGATTTGACAACTTTGCCACACAGCATGGTACACCAAGTACTGAGCTCCAATATTACAGTTATCTACTGAACTTTAACTATTGCTCAGTTTGCTCAGATGCAGTTCCTCTCATAAGCACTAGTTGCCGCTGTGATAATGTGATAAAGTGATGGGAGAAAGTGTTGTAACTGTTGCACCCAGAGCAGCTGAAGGGAGAAGCAGCAGTGCAGCTAGCTGCGCCTTCATTTCACTTTGTCCTGTCGAGGCTGTGATTGGCTCCACCTCCGGGACAGCGACGCTGTTCCAGTCCTTCTCTGGCCAGAATGTGGAGCAGTAATTGACTTTGTGACATCCGGTACACCTGTTCTGATTGGACGGGGAGAATGTGACAGAACCTCACGGAACCAGAGAGGTTCTGACAGCTGCTGAGGTTCACTCAGAACCGCTGTTGGTTCTGATAAACAGACCTGCCGATCCACCAGAACCTGATCAGTACCGAGCCAGGTCAGAACCATCTCTGCTTCCTCTGAGTGATCTTCATCTGATCTTTGAGGAGCTTCATCAGCATCAGAACCGGGTCAGAACCGGGTCAGACGCTCTGGCTGTTTGCTCCGTTGTCAGGTTGGATCCCTGCAGGCGGAGCTGAAATTTACTGAGATTTAATGAAAGTAGAGAAACACGAGGCATCTTCATCTTCCTCCTCCTCCTCCTCCTGAGGTCGCTCGGCGTCACGGCGCTGCTTTCATCTGCTGCCCTGGGGGATTGTGGGTAACCTGGTCCACATGGGGACGTGGAGGACATGTTGGACCGCAGATGTGGACCGGTGGGGAGGCTAGCGCCTCCTGCTGGCTGAACTCCCACTCTGAGGTTCTGCAGAACCTATTGACCTCTCAGAACTTTCACTTCCTGTCTGGATCAGAGTTCAGCAGCAAACTGAGCAGACACGCAGTCCAGTCAAAGTAAGGAGTGGAGACAATTAAACCAGTTAAATCTGGTTGGAGTAGAAATATCCCACAGAGAGATAGATCCTGGAGGAACCAGGTGGATCCAGAAGGATCCTGGAGGATCCAGGTGGATCCAGAAGGATCCTGGAGGAACCAGGTGGATCCAGGTGCAGCAGCACGGTGGCGCAGAGCATCACACTGAGTCTGTTCTGTTGAATGAACTAAATGTTTGTGTGTTTGTGCATTAAGACAACAAACTCTTAACCATTTATGAAGAATAAAAACTGCAAACAGCAGCAGGACGAGTGAAGCTGAAGATTCAGCAGCGGTGATGTGAAAATGTCGGGTTTGTTGACGAACATGAAGCAGAAACGCTCCGGGGTCGGTCCAACCACGGCCTGCGGCAGCGGTTTATTCCTGGAGTCGGTTCGGGTCGGGGCCGGTCTGCCTGGGTTTGGCTCTGGTACTGTCGTCTGCATCAAGTTGTCCTCAGTAGAGTCACACCTGGACGAAAGGTCCAAACCACATTAAATGATCTCTGGTCCAATTGGTGACTGAGTCGCTGAAATAAACTGAACCAGGATGTTTAATGGCAGCAGACGTCAAACTTTAGCAGAACTAAGATGAGAGAAAATGTCTCCAGGACCCAGTAACACAACATGTTTAGTTATTGTCTCTGACGGTTCTGAACCCAGGACCTCAACAGCTGTCGCATCATGTCCAAGGTCAAACACCAGTGAAGGTCAAACATCAAGACATCTTCAGATTTCCCTCCCTGAGCGCTGAGAGCCTCTGGTGTCTCAGTTCTGCAGGATCAAGATGTGAAAGTCCGGACTCCTCCTGCAGAAACCACAGAACCACTAATCCTGTTGTTTAGACTGCTGTGATCTGCGAAGCGGCCGTGGAGCTTTCATCTGCTCAGCCCCGGGCCAGGAAGGGAGGAGCGCTGCATGATGGGAAAGGCAGTTCACAGCGGGTTTAGACTGGGGAGCTGGACGGAGAAGAAGACCACAAGAATGGAGGCTGAGCCGAGTTCACAGGGAGAGAAACCTGAGGAGGAACCAACAGTTTATCTGTTGGGAGACCTGAACCGCTGCGACCGAGAGGAACATCTACCCTTACCCTAACCTAACCCTAACCCCTAACCCCTAACCCCTAACCCTGTTTCCAGTTTCACATCACAACCTGGTAATCTGACCCACAACCCTGCGGTTCTGTCACCTGGTTTCACTTCATGTCTCTCATCTGTCAGGGCTCTGCTGACCAGCAGTCCGCTTCCACCCGACTCCGGTCCGCTTCGTCAAAATCCAGTCCAGTGGGTGAGGTGTGACCGCTACCTGACCTCTGACCTCTGGTGCTCCAAACCTTGGTCTGGGTTGGTTTGAATGTGAACGCCAAGCGGACCAGAGGAGCTGATGGAGTTCTGGTTCCAGCAGAATCGGGTCGACCGGACCAGCAGGACATTAAGGTTTTACTGATGAGTCCCTCCATTATGTTATTCCACAATTCCAAAAATGTATGCAAGATAAAATTGATCCCAGAATTTTTTTCCCACTAATGTATAACTGAGTTTATCGCAAATTCTCTGTAGAAATGGTGAGAAGCATTGAGCTTTAGGCAATGCAACTCCCACCTGCAGGTGGCAGTGTTTCTTCCTTCTACTCTGCTGCCTGAGCTTCACTTTATGACCAGTTAGCATCTGTGATCAACATGGCAGCAACAGAAAATTCACAACAGATTCTCCTGTTCCCCAGGTTCCTCTGGTTCCCCTGGTTCCTCTGGTTTCCCTTTTTCCCTGGGTTCCCCGGGTTCCCCTGGTTCCCCTGGTTCCCCTGGTTCCCTGGTTCCCCGGGTTCCCCTGGTTTCACTGGTTCCTCTGGTTCCCCTTTTTCCCTGGGTTCCCCTGGTTCCCTGGTTCCCGGGTTCCTCTGGTTCCCCTGGTTCCCTGGGTTCCTCTGGTTCCCCTGGTTCCCCGGGTTCCCCTGGTTTCACTGGTTCCACTGGTTCCTCTGGTTCCCTGGGTTCCCCTGGTTTCACTGGTTCCTCTGGTTCCACTGGTTCCTCTGGTTCCCTGATTCCTCTGGTTCCCCGGTTCCCCTTTTTCCCTGGGTTCCCCAGGTTCCCTGGTTCCTCTGGTTCCCCTGGTTCCCCGGTTCCCCTTTTTCCCTGGGTTCCCCTGGTTCCCTGGTTCCCCTGATTCCCCTGGTTCCTCTGGTTCCCCTGGTTCCTCTGGTTCCTCTGGTTCCCTGATTCCCCTGGTTCCTCGGGTTCCCCTGGTTCCTCTGGTTCCCCAGTTCCCCTTTTTCCATGGTTCCCCAGGTTCCCTGGTTCCCCTGGTTCCTCTGGTTCCTCTGGTTCCCCTTTTTCCATGGTTCCCCAGGTTCCCTGGTTCCTCTGGTTCCCCTGGTTCCCTGGGTTCCTCTGGTTCCTCTGGTTCCCCTGGTTCCCCTGGTTCCTCTGGTTCCCCTGGTTCCCCTGGTTCCTCTGGTTCCCCTGGTTCCTCTGGTTCCTCTGGTTCCCCTGGTTCCCCTGGTTCCTCTGGTTCCTCTGGTTCCCCTGGTTCCTCTGGTTCCTCTGGTTCCCCTTTTTCCATGGTTCCCCAGGTTCCCTGGTTCCTCTGGTTCCCCTGGTTCCCTGGTTCCCCTGGTTCCCCTGGTTCCTCTGGTTCCCCTGGTTCCCCTGGTTCCTCTGGTTCCCCTGGTTCCTCTGGTTCCCCTGGTTCCTCTGGTTCCTCTGGTTCCTCTGGTTCCCCTGGTTCCCCTGGTTCCCCTGGTTCCTCTGGTTCCCCGGTTCCCCTGGTTCCCCTGGTTCCCTGGTTCCTCTGGTTCCCCTGGTTCCCCTGGTTCTTCTGGTTCCCCTGGTTCCCCTGGTTCCTCTGGTTCCCCTGGTTCCCCTGGTTCCTCTGGTTCCCCTGGTTCCTCTGGTTCCCCTGGTTCCTCTGGTTCCCCTGGTTCCCTGGGTTCCCCTGGTTCCCCTGGTTCCCCTGGTTCCTCTGGTTCCCCTGGTTCCCCTGGTTCCTCTGGTTCCCCTGGTTCCCTGGTTCCTCTGGTTCCCCTGGTTCCCCTGGTTCCCCTGGTTCCCCTGGTTCCTCTGGTTCCTCTGGTTCCTCTGGTTCCCCTGGTTCCCTGGTTCCTCTGGTTCCTCTGGTTCCCCTGGTTCCCCTGGTTCCCCTGGTTCCCCTGGTTCCTCTGGTTCCCCTGGTTCCCCTGGTTCCTCTGGTTCCCCTGGTTCCCCTGGTTCCTCTGGTTCCCCTGGTTCCTCTGGTTCCCCTGGTTCCTCTGGTTCCCCTGGTTCCCCTGGTTCCTCTGGTTCCCCTGGTTCCCTGGTTCCTCTGGTTCCCCTGGTTCCCCTGGTTCCTCTGGTTCCTCTGGTTCCCCTGGTTCCCCTGGTTCCCCTGGTTCCCCTGGTTCCCCGTTACCTGGTACGGCACGATGCTCTCATGGGCCGTCCCCCAGGCTTGGCCTCCTTCCCTGCGTTCAGGTAGTTGGCAGCGATGTGGCTGAGGCAGGACACCTGGACAGAGACGGAGACATTAACTGACCCAGCAGTTTGTCTGGAGTCCAAGTGCTACAGTTCATGGTTTCCTCTTAGTTTTGCTACGACTTGTTGATGGGAGCGTTGCTGTGGTTGCATGTAACGGTGGCAACACAGAAACTTTTTCTGCTGCGTCAGAAACTCAGCACTTCCTGTTCAAGGTTCATGAATCCAGAGTGCTGTGGTTCAGCAGAACATTGATGACTCACACAGCTAATCTTTGAATAGCTAGAATGTAAAAATAAAGAATCTGATGATTTTGTCACATTTAGAAAGGGTTCTGGACGACGTCGGTGATTCAGACAGGTTCATTCTGTCTGTCTGGAGTTTTTCTGCTCATTCATGTCAGTGAATTCAGTAAAACTCCTCATTTTATGGTGGATTTTTTTTGCTTGGTGAATCTTCTCTCCTCAGTTTGACGTTTCATCATGGTGGTGAAACGTTCAGATTGTTCAGCAGAACAATGTATGGGGCTTGAAAGCCAATCAGAACCCAGAAATGGATCCTCTCTGGTCTGGCTCACGACCAGAACCGGTCCATCCAGGCCGATGACCCGGCTGCGTCAGATCCTGATGGCTTCATCATGTTGGCTTGTTGTCATATTTCTGCAGCGGTTTCTGGTGATTAGCAGGAAACCATGAGAGGCGCTGGGTAACGGCGCCATGACACAGCAGGAAGCTTCCCGGGTGGTTCTGTCCATCAGAACCCGGTTTTGTTTAAACTGCAGGAGCCACAAGTGAAGCAGCATCACCGCTGCACATGTGGAGGCCGGAAACAAGACGTCGTTAGGAAGAAAAACCAGCTGCAGTCAGCAGACATGAGAGGCAGACATCTGGAGCAGGCAGATCGACAGCAAATACCGGGGGCCAGACTTCCTACTTCACTCACTGAACTTCCTGTATCCAACTTCCTGTTTCACTCACTGAACTTCCTGCTTCCAACTTCCTGTTTCACTCAGTGTACTTCCTGCTTCACTCACTGAACTTCCTGCTTCCAACTTCCTGTTTCACTCACTGAACTTCCTGCTTCCAACTTCCTGTTTCACTCACTGAACTTCCTGCTTCCAACTTCCTGTTTCACTCAGTGTACTTCCTGCTTCACTCACTGAACTTCCTGCTTCCAACTTCCTGTTTCATTCAATGAACTTCCTGCTTCCAATTTCCTGCTTCACTCACTGAACTTCCTGTTTCCCTTACTGTACTTCCTGCTATTAACTTTCTCTTTCACTCATTATATTTCCTGCTTCCTGCTTCACTCACTGAACTTCCTGCTTCCAACTTCCTGTTTCACTCACTGAACTTCCTGTTTTCTCCTTCCTGTTTCTTGTCAGTTTCACTCACTGTAGTTCTGTAGCAAAACCCGGCTCAATCTCATTTTCACAGGAAGTGATCTCACAGACAGGAAGTGGCACCTGAGCAGACAGGAGGTTGCAGTCGATGTGACTTCCTCTTCCTGTCTTCTCTCTGTGCAGCAGAGCGGCCATGACGGCTCCATGCGCATACAGCCCCGTGGCCAGGTCCGTCATGGCGACGCCGGGACGCACCGGCTCCCCGTCCTGCCGGAGCAAAGCATCATGGGATCAGCTGGCACCGGTTCGGACCCGGTTTGATCCAGAAGGAGCTCTGACCTCTGGCCCGGTGATGTGCATCATCCCTGACACGGCCGAAGCGATGGAATCGTAGCCTGGACTCCGGGCCTGAGGGCCCGTCTGGCCGTAGCCTGGGACACAGAGACACCGGGTCACCAACCAGTTCAGAACCAAAACCCAGCTGGGTTCATTCAGTTAGAGGCTTCAGGAATCTGCTGATGAAGGTCAGCTTCTAACAGGAAGTTAAAGAAAGTTCTGGAAAATACACTGAACTGGATCAGGGCCTGGAGACGGATCCATGGATCTGGATCATCAGAACCGTTGGACCTGAGACACAGTCAGAGTCCTGGTCCAGATTCAGATCTCAGTCCAGGTCGGGTTCTGTACCTGATACAGAGCAGTAGACAAGGCCTGGGTTGATTCTGCTGAGCTCAGCATATCCTAAACCCAACTGAGGAAGATTTCCTGGCAGGAAGTTCTCCACCAGGACGTCACACACACCTGCAAGCTGAACACACACCGTGAACACACACCGTGAACACACACACCGTGAACACACCGAACACACACACAGTGAACACACCGTGAACACACACACAGTGAACACACACACCATGAACACACACCGTGAACACACACCGTGAACACACACACCATGAAAACACACACCGTGAACACACACACCGTGAACACACACATGAAAACACACACCGTGAACACACACCGTGAACACACACACCGTGAACACACACACCATGAACACACACCGTGAACACACACACCATGAAAACACACACCGTGAACACACACACCATGAAAACACACTGTGAACACACACACCGTGAACACACACCATGAACACACACACCATGAAAACACACACCGTGAACACACACCATGAACACACACCGTGAACACACACCATGAACACACACACCATGAACACACACCGTGAACACACACACCATGAAAACACACACCATGAACACACACCATGAACACACACCGTGAACACACACACCATGAACACACACACCGTGAACACACACCATGAACACACACACCGTGAACACACACACCATGAAAACACACACCGTGAACACACACCGTGAACACACACCGTGAACACACACCGTGAACACACACCGTGAACACACACAGTGAACACACACCGTGAACACACACCATGAACACACACCGTGAACACACCGTGAACACACCGTGAACACACACCGTGAACACACACCGTGAACACACACCGTGAACACACACCGTGAACACACACACAGTGAACACACACCATGAACACACACCGTGAACACACACCGTGAACACACACCGTGAACACACACCGTGAACACACACCGTGAACACACACCGTGAACACACACCGTGAACACACCGTGAACACACACCGTGAACACACACCGTGAACACACACACAGTGAACACACACCATGAACACACACCGTGAACACACACACAGTGAACACACACCGTGACACACCGTGAACACACACAGTGAACACACACCATGAACACACACACAGTGAACACACACCATGAAAACACACACCATGAACACACCCATGAACACACACACAGTGAACACACACCATGAAAAACACACACCATGAACACACACCATGAACACACACCGTGAACACACACACAGTGAACACACACCATGAACACACACCGTGAACACACACCGTGAACACACACCGTGAACACACCATGAACACACACCGTGAACACACCGTGAACACACACCGTGAACACACACCGTGAACACACACACAGTGAACACACACCATGAACACACACCGTGAACACACACACCGTGAACACACACCGTGAACACACACCGTGAACACACACACAGTGAACACACACCATGAACACACACACAGTGAACACACACCATGAAAACACACACCATGAACACACATGAACACACACACAGTGAACACACACCATGAAAACACACACCGTGAACACACACCATGAAAACACACACCATGAACACACACCATGAACACACACACCGTGAACACACACCGTGAACACACACACAGTGAACACACACCATGAACACACACACAGTGAACACACACCATGAAAACACACACCATGAACACACACCATGAACACACACACAGTGAACACACACCATGAAAACACACACCATGAACACACACCATGAACACACACACAGTGAACACACACCATGAAAACACACACCGTGAACACACACCATGAACACACACACCGTGAACACACACACCATGAAAACACACACCGTGAACACACACCGTGAACACACACCGTGAACACACACCGTGAACACACACCGTGAACACACACAGTGAACACACACCGTGAACACACACCGTGAACACACCGTGAACACACACCGTGAACACACACCGTGAACACACACCATGAACACACACGTGAACACACCGTGAACACACCGTGAACACACACCGTGAACACACACACAGTGAACACACACCATGAACACACACCGTGAACACACACCGTGAACACACACACAGTGAACACACCATGAACACACACACAGTGAACACACACCATGAACACACACCGTGAACACACCGTGAACACACACCGTGAACACACACACCATGAAAACACACACCGTGAACACACACACCATGAACACACACACCGTGAACACACACACAGTGAACACACACACCGTGAACACACACACCGTGAACACACACACCGTGAACACACACACAGTGAACACACACACCGTGAACACACACACCGTGAACACACACACAGTGAACACACACACGTGAACACACACACCGTGAACACACACACAGTGAGCTCTCTCATGGCCTGGTGACCTCTCGGGTCGTACCTGCTGGATGACCTCTGCTCCTCTGCGGTGCTTCAGGTCGACTGCGATGCTCTGGAACAGATGAATGTGGATCAGAAATCTGCCTGTTCTCTACTTCCTCAGCTTTCATTTATTTGTTATAATCGTTTTTTTTCTCTGGTTTTGTTTAAATTTACCAAAATAAATTAACTCAGATGGATTGTAACAGGGTTGGAGGTCATAGGTCAGATTAGATCAGTCTTGTTCAAACTGGTGATCCGCGGGCGCCCCTAGTGGTGGGCGAGGTACTGCATGACAGTGACCGTTTATTTGCCGTGACGTCAGCTCAAAGTGATGCTACAGCTAGCTTAGCAAAGATTTAATTAAAAATACGGATGGAGAACTGGCTTAAAATGGGTTCTCAACAGAAAAGCTGCAGATAGAGGTGGGAAGAAAAAACCCCGGGAATATGATGTGACCAGAGGAAGCTGAAGCTGCTGTAGTTCACCAGTGAATGATTCCTTTGAACGGCTCCGTGCGGGAGGAATCGGCTCTGCTAGTCTTTGTTTTATGCCTTTGCTTGGTAATTAATTATGCTCTGCTTTCAGGTCAACAGCTATTGTGATTTTATTTAATTAAAAATGATTAAACTAATCAAATACAATTTATAGAAATGTGTTAATTATTTTAATATTTAACAGTGCAGAAAAATATTTTTTGCTCGTGTTAAAGTAACTCTAGTCTATTTTTCTTTAATTGTACTTCTAAATCATAAATAGCCTTAAATGTTATTAATGCACATAACACTTGGTAGTAAAGAACAATTAATGTTTTTATTTCCATGTGTTTGACATCATTGGAAGCTCAGAATCTGTAAATAACTCAAAATGCCCAAGTAGACGCAGCACCTCTCCGCCAGGATGAACACAGAAAACAACAATACAGGAGTTAAGACGCTAAAATTTTCATTTCCGGTTGCGTCGCAGAGATTTCACCTTCTTATTCCGGTTCACGCTCAGGAAGTAGACGCTCTCTGAGGCAGCAAACGGCGGGCCCCAGGTTCTGGTGTCGTCTCCTACACCTGTCCAACAGAACCACCACATCGGCAACAGTCAGGTTTCCCACAATCCTTCAGCCACTACCCAGAACTCACCTGGCCTCTCCACCTTGATCACCTCGGCTCCCAGGTCTCCCAGGATCATGGTGGCAAACGGACCGGCCAGAACCCTGCAAACACCCAGACACATGTCAGCAACTGAGTGGACCGGAACCAGCAGCGGCCTGCGGAGCTCACCTGGTCAGATCCAGCACTCTGACGCCCTCTAGTGGCCGAGCAGCTCCTGCAGCACATTAAATACACCTCCAAGTTATTGCTTTAGAAAAACAGAAAAAGTTTTACATTCAAAGCTAAATATTAATAAAAATTGTCCTGATTTAAAAACTAAAGTTATATTGTTATTTTAACTGAAATTTATATTTTCTTTGGTTAAATAAAATCCCTCGCATTTTTGTCCGAAGGACCTTAAAGTACAGAATTAATATTTTGATGTATATCTTAATTTCATCATAAATCGTTGTAAATGAAGTCATCAATAACGATGATCCTCTAACAGCAGGAGAACTTGCCTCTCACAACATGGCGGACGGGCTGACGTATTATTTCAGTCGCATTACAGCTAACCTTGAACAGACCAGCGTGTTTAACCAGCAGCAGTTTAAAGGGACGCATATATTTCATAAAGTCATAACGTGTTCTGGTCCACATCCTGTCCGTATACCCACTGGTTCCGATCCAAAATCCGACGAGCTGACTGACCCCCGACCAGAGATGCTACCATTAGCCTGCTAGCAGCAGCTCCGGAGCAGTACCTGAGTTTGTGTCCGAGCTCCACCGCCTGCTGCCGATACTTTGAAGCTCTGAATCCCGAACGGTACCGAGCCCTGAGGACGCTGCGTAAAATCATGAAGCTTTCAAACATCTTCTAAACCTGCTAGCATCAGCCTGAAACCACGCTATCACTTCCGGTAACCGATTTCCAAAGTAAAATCCGTTCAGGTGGGATTGTTTTTAATTGTTTACAGTTTTAACTTCTATCAGGACCGCTTCAAAGTTCATTTCAAGGATAAAACTTAACAATTTCTGATCAAAGTTCAACATTTCCTCACACTCAGAGTTACTGTTATGACAACAGATCGAATATCTGCGTCATTCCTTAAACACTGAGAGTGAAGGACGCGTGAAAACCGTGAATTTAGCAAAAAATTATATTTATAAAGATACAAATAAAAAGGACAGCGACAGTTTACAATTCCCTTTTTTCCAAAGATACACAGTTTACATGGTGAAAAACGTGTCTAGTAAGCAATCCGTCAAAGTTTATTCTAATACCACCCAACAGGAAGTATGCCTATCAAAATAAAACAATTTCGCAATAAAAATTGAACAAATATCTCTACGGAAGAGGATTAGGGCCACTGGGAAAAAAATGTCCGAAAATTTTTTTTCAGTGGTTCAGAATAGGTTAAAAAAGAAGAAAAAAAAAATTGTGGCCCAAAAAAAAAAAAAAAAAAAATTGTGGCCCAGAAAAAAAAAAAAAAAAAAAATTGTGGGCCAGAAAAAAAAAACAAACAAACAAATGTCACAATTCGGACTGATGGGCGCCAGCAGCAACCACACAGACGCGAGTTGTGGCGGACAGCCAATGTTCTGGAGAAAATGTCTGATTTAAGCGACTTTTTACGTGCCAGAAGTACCAGAAGCGTCCATTGCACTAATGGAAGAACAAAAGGTGAGTCAAAAAGGTTCTGTTTGCTTGCATACTTTTCATCTTTAATTAGATGTAGAGCAGAAGCCCTGTTTACAGGGCACCTATCACATTGCAAACACTATCCAATGGCATGATGGAGATAATAGCAACACTTTTTAAATGATCTTTATGCACACTGAAAGTTGCTAAATACTTTGAAGAATTTCTTCTCTTAACCTTATATACAAATCAGCAGCATAAGTGGATCTCTTGAGGCCTCCAAGTAACATACCAGAAGATATGCTTTTCATACTTTTTAAAACAAAAACATTGCAGTGTACCAGTATACACCTTTACCTGAATAAGATTAAGAAAGCAGAATTGGATAAGGCTTTTATCCAAAAAAATCTCCTGTAAAGTGACCATCAACCAGAAAGGCTTGAAATAAGTTTCATCCAAAACTGTGCACTCTGTTTATGGAGGGTCGATCAAATTGGATAAGGCTATGATATTTTCCTTTTAAATATATGCATATATAAACGTCTGTCACTTTGTACTATAGTTTCTGTCCTCTACTGAACTAAAAGTTGCAGTTTAACACAGCAGACATTATTTAGAAGGTGGCTGACATATACAGCTAACCTTAGTTTAATTGTAAAACATTCAAACAGAACAACAATAAAATAAACATACCAAACACTTTAGAGACAATCCAGCAATTAACAGCTGTTATATCCTATATTCATTCGTGTGATCTAACATTGTAAATCAGCTTATTCCTTTAACGCGTATGCTAACAACATGCTAACAGCTAGCCGTAACCGTTCGGCTTTAGACACTGACTATCCCATTTGATTTACTCACCTTTGTTCTTCCATTAGTGCAATGGACGCTTCTGGTACTCTTCTGGCACGTAAAAAGTCGCTTAAAATCAGACATTTTCTCCAGAACATTGGCTGTCCGCCACAACTCGCGTCTGTGTGGTTGCTGCTGGCGCCCATCAGTCCGAATTGTGACATTTTTTTTTTTTCTGGCCACAAATTTTTTTTTTGTCACAATTTTTTTTTTTCTGGGCCACAATTGTTTTTTTTTTTTTTTTTTTTGGGCCACAATTTTTTTTTCTTCTTTTTTAACATATTCTGAACTATGGAAGCCCGTTTCCGCCACTCTGTTAAAAAAATAAAATAAAATAATCTCATTATAATAAGATAGTATCTCATTAGATACTATCTTATTATTTTGAGATAATATCTCATTATAATGACATACTATCTCATTATATTGAGATACTATATCATTATAATGAGATACTATCTCATTATAATGACATACTATCTCATTATAAAGACATACTATCTCATTTATTGAGATACTATCTCATTATTTTGAGATAATATCTCATTATAATGAGATACTATCTCATTATAATGACATACTATCTCATTATATTGAGATACTATCTCATTATTTTGAGATACTATCTCATTATAATGAGATAATTTTATTAAATTTTTTAACAGAGTGGCGGAAACGGGCTTCCATACTGAACCACTGAAAAAAAAATTTTCGGACATTTTTTTTTTTTTCCATTGGCCCTAATTCTCTTCCGTAAATATCAGTCTTATCTAAATGTGATCAAATAAAAAAACAAACATCACACAAAGAACTCACATATTTTCATATTTAAGGCTCTAACAGTTACATTTACAGAATAAAATCATCTAAAACTTGTTCAGTTTTAGAGGAAGCCACATTTTAAGTTGCACGTTACTAGAAATATATAATCTAGAGCAGGGTCCCCAAAGTGGGTCGTAGAGGGTCGGCATCCTGCACGTTGTAGTCTCTCCCTGGTGGTACCAACAACCTTTTCACCGTGCCAGTGTTTCTTTAGGCCTCATTTGACCCGGATGTGTTAAACCAGGGCACTGAAACATGCAGGATGCCGGCCTCAGGGACCTCTGGTCTAGAGCTGGGGACCCCTGGTCTAGAGCAGGGCAGTCCTGGTCTAGAGCTGGGGACCTCTGGTCTAGAGATGGGACCTCTGGTCTAGAGATGGGACCTCTGGTCTAGAGCTGGGGACCTCTGGTCTAGAGCAGGGCAGTCCTGGTCTAGAGCTGGGGACCTCTGGTCTAGAGATGGGGACCTCTGGTCTAGAGCTGGGGACCTCTGGTCTAGAGATGGGGACCTCTGTCTAGAGATGGGGACAGCTGGTCTAGAGCTGGGCAGTCCTGGTCTAGAGCTGGGACCACTGGTCTAGAGCTGGGGACCTCTGGTCTAGAGCTGGGGACCCTGGTCTAGAGCAGGGCAGTCCTGGTCTAGAGCTGGGGGACCTCTGGTCTAGAGCTGGGGACCTCTGGTCTAGAGATGGGGACCATCTGGTCTAGAGCTGGGGACCCTCTGGTCTAGAGATGGGGACCCTGGTCTAGAGCTGGGGACCTCTGGTCTAGAGATGGGGACCTCTGGTCTAGAGCTGGGGACCTTGGTCTAGAGATGGGGACCTCTGGTCTAGAGATGGGGACCTCTGGTCTAGAGCTGGGGACCTCTGGTCTAGAGCTGGGGACCTCTGGTCTAGAGCTGGGGACCCCTGGTCTAGAGCAGGGCAGTCCTGGTCTAGAGCTGGGGACCCCTGGTCTAGAGATGGGGACCTCTGGTCTAGAGCTGGGGACCTCTGGTCTAGAGCTGGGGACCTCTGGTCTAGAGCAGGGCAGTCCTGGTCTAGAGCTGGGGACCCTGGTCTAGAGATGGGGACCTCTGGTCTAGAGCTGGGGACCTCTGGTCTAGAGCTGGGGACCCTGGTCTAGAGATGGGGACCTCTGGTCTAGAGCTGGGGACCTCTGGTCTAGAGCTGGGGACCTCTGGTCTAGAGCTGGGGACCCCTGGTCTAGAGCAGGGCAGTCCTGGTCTAGAGATGGGACCTCTGGTCTAGAGCTGGGGACCTCTGGTCTAGAGATTGGGGACTCTGGTCTAGAGCTGGGGGACCTCTGGTCTAGAGCTGGGGACCTCTGGTCTAGAGATGGGGACCTCTGGTCTAGAGCAGGGCAGTCCTGGTCTAGAGCTGGGGACCTCTGGTCTAGAGCTGGGGACCTCTGGTCTAGAGATGGGGACCCTGGTCTAGAGATGGGGACCTCTGGTCTAGAGCTGGGGTCCTCTGGTCTAGAGCTGGGGACCCCTGGTCTAGAGATGGGGACCCCTGGTCTAGAGATGGGGACCTCTGGTCTAGAGCTGGGGTCCTCTGGTCTAGAGCTGGGGACCCCTGGTCTAGAGCTGGGGACCCCTGTCTAGAGCTGGGGACCCCTGGTCTAGAGCTGGGGACCTCTGGTCTAGAGATGGGGACCTCTGGTCTAGAGGATGGGGACCTCTGGTCTAGAGATGGGACCTCTGGTCTAGAGATGGGGACCTCTGGTCTAGAGCAGGGCAGTCCTGGTCTAGAGCTGGGGACTCTGGTCTAGAGCTGGGGACCTCTGGTCTAGAGATGGGGACCTCTGGTCTAGAGCAGGGCAGTCCTGGTCTAGAGCTGGGGACCTCTGGTCTAGAGCTGGGGACCTCTGGTCTAGAGATGGGGACCTCTGGTCTAGAGCTGGGGACCTCTGGTCTAGAGATGGGGACCTGGTCTAGAGATGGGGACCTCTGGTCTAGAGCTGGCAGTCCTGGTCTAGAGCAGGGGGACCCTGGTCTAGAGCTGGGGACCTCTGGTCTAGAGCTGGGGACCCCTGGTCTACAGCAGGGCAGTCCTGGTCTAGAGCTGGGGACCTCTGGTCTAGAGCTGGGGACCTCTGGTCTAGAGATGGGGACCTCTGGTCTAGAGCTGGGGACCTCTGGTCTAGAGATGGGGACCTCTGGTCTAGAGCTGGGGACCTCTGGTCTAGAGATGGGGACCTCTGGTCTAGAGCTGGGGACCTCTGGTCTAGAGATGGGGACCTCTGGTCTAGAGATGGGGACCTCTGGTCTAGAGCTGGGGACCTCTGGTCTAGAGCTGGGGACCTCTGGTCTAGAGCTGGGACCTCTGGTCTAGAGCTGGGGACCCCTGGTCTAGAGCAGGGCAGTCCTGGTCTAGAGCTGGGGACCTCTGGTCTAGAGCTGGGGTCCTCTGGTCTAGAGCTGGGGACCTCTGGTCTAGAGCTGGGGACCCCTGGTCTAGAGCAGGGCAGTCCTGGTCTAGAGATGGGGACCTCTGGTCTAGAGCTGGGGACCTCTGGTCTAGAGATGGGGACCTCTGGTCTAGAGCAGGGCAGTCCTGGTCTAGAGCTGGGGACCTCTGGTCTAGAGCTGGGGACCTCTGGTCTAGAGATGGGGACCTCTGGTCTAGAGATGGGGACCTCTGGTCTAGAGCTGGGGACCTCTGGTCTAGAGATGGGGACCCCTGGTCTAGAGCTGGGGACCCCTGTCTAGAGCTGGGGACCCTGGTCTAGAGCTGGGGACCCCTGGTCTAGAGATGGGGACCTCTGGTCTAGAGCAGGGCAGTCCTGGTCTAGAGCTGGGGACCTCTGGTCTAGAGCTGGGGACCTCTGGTCTAGAGATGGGGACCTCTGGTCTAGAGATGGGGACCTCTGGTCTAGAGCTGGGGACCTCTGGTCTAGATGGGGACCCCTGGTCTAGAGCTGGGGACCCCTGTCTAGAGCTGGGGACCCCTGGTCTAGAGCTGGGGACCCCTGGTCTAGAAATTGGGACCTCTGGTCT